AATTATTATGTAACATTACCTACAAAATACATTCACAACAAAATTCGTAGAAAAAAAAATCCTATCATTTTTTAAACTTATTTTTAAAAAAATATATTTTATATTAAATAAATTCGCAACAAAATTGGTTGAAATTTCCTGCAAATTCATTTTTGCAAAGAATTTAGCAAGTATTTCCTATAACTTTTAATTTGTACACTACTAGAATTTTTTTTATTACATGCGACTTTTCCTGTGAATTTTTATGAAAAATTTGCAGGAAACGTTGTTCCTGCAAATTTTTCTTCGAAATTCTATCTGAAGGTAATACTTTTATGGATAATATATTTTTGCGAATTTTAAAATTCGCAAGAGTTTTTCCTGCGGAATTTCTTGCGAAAAAAATTTGCAGGAAAGTTTCCTGCAAAAAAAAATTTCGCAGGAAAGTAACCTGCGAATTTTTTCGTAAGAAATTTTGCAAGAATATTTTTACGAAAAAAAATTAAAGAAATTACTATAAATTCTATCAATAATTTTTCAACTTTCAAATGCTCACAATGAATTCATCCAAAGCATTTGTTTTCATGCCTCCAACATGTGATACATAATCTTTTAAATTCTAAGATTGTAGATTATAAGCTTAATACTCAGTCATACAAATCAACTTGTGAGGTAAGTGTTGCCCCAACTTATATACTCTTTAATTGTTTTATTTTCAATCGATGTGGGACTTGAAGTTTTTTTAAAATATTAAACTTATAAATTTAAATATATTTTTCCTGCGGATTAAAATTTGTTGGAAAATCCGCAGGAAAAGTTACTTGCAAAATTTTTCTACCAATTTAGTAAACATTACTTGCGAATTTATTTTTGCAAGAAAATCTGCAAGAAACAAAATAAAATTCTTACTATATTTTCTGCAAATTTTTAAAATGGAAAAAAATTTCTATGATTATTAAAATTGTAGCAAAATTTGTAAGAAATATCTGTAAATTATTTTTCACAAATAAATTCGCAAAAAATTTATGCGAATATTTTTTGTAGGAAAATTCGTACAAAATTTCTGTGAATATTTTTTTGGAAGAAAATTCGCAAAAAATTTCTGCGAATATTTTTTTGCAGGAAAATTCGCAAGAAAATGACACTTTTCTAGTAGTGGTAGAAATATTCATAGAAATCCCATGCCAATTTTTATTTGCAAAAAAATTCACAGATATGTCCTACGATTTTTTGTTTTTAGATGCTGTCAATGTTGTTACCGCCAAACCATAAGCCATAAGAAACATCACAAGACTCAAAATTTTCTTCTCTCCCATTTTATCTTCAATATTTATGCAATTGTTTTCACTGTATGAAATTTTGATCATCCATTCTTTCCATGCATTTCGCAAGCCAAAAATTTGCGATCTCGCGACCTATGGTTTAGGCATCCTTTTGAAAATCTCATTAATTAAAGAATATTCGGACACAAAACTAATCCTTAATTAATGATTTTGAAAATAGGTTCATGGAGTCGCCACCAATGTTTTACTCAAAACATTGGAAAAAAAAGATTTTTAAAAGTCTAATAATGGCCTCGATAACCAGAATTGGGTTCGGGGGTCGGTTACGGGTAGGGAAGGTATTAAGCACCCCTACAACGCCTTAAATCGGTACCCTATGATGAAGATAACATAATAATTAATAGTTTAAATATTTAATTCCTTTTATTAATGATTATTTACATGAAATTTAAATTACACGATAAACCCTAAGATGTCTACATGATTGCATTTATTATAGCAATATATGAAACAAAAGAAGAGAAAGATGGAAGAAGAGATTGATGAATAATACCTCGTAGCAAGCTTTATTTGATCTTCAACTATGGAGATTTTAGGTGCTTTGCGGTAACCTTTCACACTATAATATGCCTCACAAAACTCAAGAAATACAATAAGAGAGAGAGAGAAATTTCGTGCTCTAAGGAGTCTTCGACGAAATTTTTGAGGTCATGAGAACTGTGCCCGAGCTGTCTATTTATAGGCATCAGAAGAGGGCTAGAACGGCCCATTCCGGATTCAAGACGGCCTGTTCTAGGCCAGTCCGTTACGGGTAAAATAAGAATTTGAAACGGTCCATTCTGGGTTTGAATTTTACTTACAATAAGGTATTCCGGAACGGCCCGTTCTAAACTAGGGTTTTAGGCCCATTTGATGATTTGGAACGGCCCGTTCCCGATTTAGAACGGCCCGTTCTAGGCAAGTCTATTATGGGTAAAATAAGAATCTGGAACGGCTCGTTCCTAAAGCGGAACGACCCGTTCTGGGTTCAAATCTTGCTTATAACAACCTGTTCTGGAACAGGCTATTCCGTTTTGGGAACAGCCTGTTCTAGTCTTGGGAACAGCCTATTCTGGTCTTGGAACAGCCCATTGTGGGCGATTAAAACCAGCTTATTTAGGCTTTAGGTCTTCTGATGTCATGTCCTGTTGTTTCCATGCTTCGGGAGCTCCTTTCCTTGATAATAAACTCTATTTCATTACTTTTGTGAGCCCGGACGAAATTGAGTGTCTACAATGCAAAGAAATTAATATAACTGGATAAAAGTTTTGATCACATGCAATCACACTTCACTATGCTGTGCTCAATTAATTTTTTAATTAATAAAAAAATGATGATATTAAATGTGGTTTAATTCAATATTTTAATGTACTACTTTTATTACATTTTATAATTTTGTACAAGAGATAAAAAAAAAACCAAATTTGTCACCCAAGATAATAGATAAGTCAATTAAGTATATTAGTCATATATTTAAAATATCTATAATAATTTATAAACATTAATAAAGGGACCATTTTTTTTTTACTTTTTTACTCCTAAAACTAATTTACTTAATTACCTTTTTTTTTTATACTTTTAACTAATTTATTTAATTATCACGCTATTCTAAAGTTAATTACATGTTTTACTTTTAATTTCACCATTTTTGTTTTTTTTTTCATTTTTTTATGATCAGGTACAAAGTATCTCATTTTCACTAGTAATCTATACTAATATATAAAGGGATACCCTTTTCAATAACTACCCTGGTTTCCATATTTTTTTTGAGCATTCTACCCTTCTATTTTTAAAAAATTAGTAATAAATAAAGGGGATATCTTTCCTCTCAACTCATTTTATCTTTATTTTTAATAGAACCATTTTATCATTCAAATAAAAACTTTCATTAAATAATTGTACATTATATTTCTATTGCAATTGAAAACTTTTATTAAGTAACTATACATTATGAGATTATTTCGGGGACCTTACTAGTACTAATAAAGTCAAATATTTAAAGCAAATTAAATTATTCAAATATTAATTAAATATTTATGTTATTAAATAATAATTTCAGATACTAATTTAACATTTCGGATATTAATGTTGTTGGATTAAATATTTATTTGGTTATATATTAATTCAATTTTTAATTTTGTCAAATATTACTTTGAAATTATTAATTTAGTCAAATGTTAACAGTCACATGCACACATATATATGTTAACTTAGATATTTTCGAATTAAGAGCATTACATAAAGATGACTTTAATGAAATTTCTTTATATTTTAGTCCAAAAATATTAACTTTTATTTTGTTTATATATGAGGGAAAATATTATTTTTATTCTTCATTATTATTTAAATAAATTTTTCAAAATTTTATCAAGTATTCTATATTTATTTATTCTAATAACAACGTCACATACTAATTTAGTCAAATATTAAAGTAAAATATTATGTTCTCTTTCCATGAATTAAATATCATAGTTATACTAAGGCTAACCACTTTCCTGTAAATTTATATATATATATATATATATATATATACGGACCTGTGTGGTGATTAATTGTGTATCTATGCATGGTGGTGGCATGGCATGAGCATTGGTGGATGTGCATATGCATCACCCTAGCCTGTGTGGTGATTAAAGGGGAATGCATGATATATATGTATACGCACCCTGACCTATATGATGATTAACAAGATAATGCACTACCTTGGCTTATGTGGTGATTATCAGGGAATGCATGTTATACATATATACATGGCATGTGTGGTGATTAATAGTGTGACAATGCACAGTGGTGCCTGAGGAATTTGATAAGGTCTGTCGATTGTGTGACGCTCTGACTCAATACTTCTTACGAGATTGTAGTACATAAGCATTAGTGTCAGCACGATCATGATGCATAATTATGTTATAATATGATGATAATATTGGATGGATTCAGAATGGATAATATAATATGTGATTGAATGATATTGTTAATTATATATGCTTATGGATTGATTTTGTATTGAGTGAAATTCCTTCCTACAACGTACATATGAATGCTCACTACAACATTTGTTGTTTATGACAACAATAAAAAATCGTTGTTGAAAGCCAAAAAATCGTTCCTGAAAGTTTAGGGAACGGTTTGGCAACGGTTTGTCAAGCATGGATTTATCAACCGTTGCCTATTCCAATATGCAACGGTTTTTTGGCCTATACCCACGATGTCAAAAAAAATCGTTACCTAAACTTCCTGGAACGGTTTTCATGATCTTCATTGGCAACGGTTTTTTTTATATTTAAGGCAACACTATAAATTTTTAAAGAACGGTTTTAGAAATGTAGTCTTTTTTTATAGGCAACACTTTTATGACCATTGCTAGTGACATTATAAATTTTTTTTTAAGGTTGTCTATGAGATAATATAGGCAACAATTTAGACTAAATTTAAGCTATAATTTTGTAAACGTTGTCTAAATAAACGTGCAACGATTATTTTTATATTGACTTATAATATTGGTAATAAGACACCATTATTTAATCAATAATCTTCACCATATACTACTTTTAAATGGTTATGAATGTAATATATATATATATATATATATGTATATATATAATAAAGAATTGATTTCATCCTCAAAAAATAATAAAATAAATTATAAAATAAAATTCAAACACATGTAAAATTCACTTGCATTAATTAGTTCCAAGTATATGACAATTCAAAAGCATAAAACTCCAAATAAAATCATCCAAAGATGTCAAAGTTTACATAAAATTTCTAAATTTCAAAATAAAGTGTCATCTAGAAATATTATGCATAGCTAGTCATCCATCCATGTAAATAACATCATTCAGTCTCTTCATCATCATAAGGTTGATCTTCATAAAGTCTTTCATCATCAAGTCTTTCCTGCATATAAATATATTTTTTCACTTAGAAAACTTATAAAATTAATCCCCAATCAATCTCCAACAATTAACATAAGTTAAAGCTAGTTATACTGAAAAAAATTTCATAACTGGTTTGGTATATGCAAATGAAATGAATTAAAATATAATTTAGAACTCGACAAAGGCATAAATTATACCTTACCATGACCAGGACTATGGGTTGAGGCAGAAGAAGGAGGTGTCCCAGTAATACCGCTTGTGACACAAGACAATTAATCAAAATCATAAAGAGAACTAAACCTATATCTGTCAAACCTCTACAATAATTTATCAAACAAATACACTATTACATTCTAAAGTAATCTATGAAACCAATAGCATTGTTGAGAGCACACAAATACCTTAGGAGGCCGTGCAACAACAAAGGCATGGCCATTTCCCAGCATTTCCATATGAGCCTGAATTATGTAACAAAGATTTTTGCAGTCACCAGGATCTTGAAAAGGTTGAAAACACATGGTATCACCCATTAAAACCCTGACCATACGAATTAAAACCCTGGCAAGTAGCCGTGAACATTTGCTGCACCACCAACAAATTGAGTTTAGTAATTTGACCAAAGGATAAGAAAATCTAAAGTTCTAGAAGCTGCAAATTGAACCTGCATGATTTTGAAAATAGAGTCTCGTAGCTGCAAATCCAGTGCTACAAAAAAAAGGCAGAAATCTAAGAAAACCTAGTGTACATCTAGAATTAATACCTTCTAATCAAAAGAAGTTCCACGATTTGAAAAAATAAAGAAAATTACAGTACCAAAACAGAATACAGACACGTTTCAGTTTGGTTCCCAAGAAAATACTGCAAAGCTATCGCTGCATACTCCTGCAATGTAAAACAAAAAGGATCTATAATAAGAAAGACTTTAAAGAGTAACTAAAAGAATCAAATGAAAATAATAAGCAACAAAGACTGTTACCGTGATATGTTTAAACACATGATGAATAGAAAAACCCCTTGCATGCACATAGCTTTTGCTTTGTTAAGTAGCGCACAGTTAAATACACTAAGCCAGATGTATTAAGGAACTATAAAACTGGAATATGTAAATGTAAAGTTCAAGCAAATTTATTAAGAAATAACAAATTTAAGTCTCCTTATTATTATCATTAAAAAACAAGTCATATACACATTCGAGAGAAAATAAGTGAAGAACAACTAGGGAATAAGACATTCTCCAAAATCAAGTAAAAAGTATGAGAACACCATCTGTCTCTATTAAATCAGAAATAGAAACTCCCTTGAAACAGCCATGGGCTGGGCACCAAAGCTACCATCATCACAAGATTCCCAACACAAAGCTACCAGTGGAAAAGTGGGACTGTAACCATTTGACCATTTTCTTTTTTAAACGGAACCTAAAAATCCACAAAAAAATAAAAGGATATCAACCAAACATCCACATATAACAATACAAGTTACTATGATGCAACGAAAATCTGATCTATTGAAAAATCAACTGCATAAGTTACTTTCTTATTAATTAATTTCTTGGTTAAGCTTACCAAAATAAGTTACTTTAGTTTATTTCAATAAGTTTCATGGTTAAATTTATGAGATGAGCTCTCACATTAAACAATCTTATTAATTAATTACTTGCTATCATGCGAATAATACTCAGTTGTCAAAAGTTTTAAACAATCTTGGACAAAAATAGTAGAGTATACTTTATTGACCAAAATGTCAAAGAAAACAAATTAATCATGGTTACAACTATAAAAATGAATCCATAATAACCAGGAACATTCACAATTATTAACAATAGCTTCTAACACTAATTAAAGGTTCAAACTATCATGAAACAGAAAATACATGGAAATCAAATTTGCTTAGAGAGCTTAGCTTATGCCCTGTAAGCAGTTTTGGGTAAAAGTCATATCCAGGCACAGTCAAGTTAGAAATTAAATCTTCTTTAGCTAGGATAACACACTTTGAATAGAATCTGAAATCACTTTGGATTTGTGCAAATTAGGGGCAGAGTTATGTGGAAAAAGAACTAAAATGTCATGTTTGTTAATTAGGTATGCAAAATCTAAAACAAATCCTTGTATGCAAGGAAGAAAGCATTTTAAGTTTTGTCCCAAGTGAAAAACAAGAAAGAATGAGATGGAATAGACCTCTTGGAGCAAGGAACCATCGAGGGTGTTGAAGAGCCTAACGAGGGTGCCCTTGGAGCTGGCGGTGGCAAGCAAGTGTCCATCGTGAGTGAGGGCGAAGGGTCCTCTTGGAGGCGTAATGCTCAACCCTAACCTGGCCCTTCTACAGGCCAGGGCACACCAACACCATGGCGGAAACGTGAGAGAGGTTGCAGAGGCCCTTAGGGTTAGCAATAGTCTCAATCTTGTGGGCCAGGACCACCGCGATGCGGTCACGCCAGAGACGGACGCCCTTCACCTCCGACCGGAAGGAGAGCTCGTCAATGCACCGGGACTGGTGGTCATCCCAGACCATCACCTTGTTCGGAGCCGCCGCCCACGAAGGTGAGGATGTTGCATCGAAAGAGCATGTGGACCAGGCCCATGCCGCCGTCGGGGCCGAAGTCGCGGTGGAAGATCTCGTGGAAGGGGTCGCAGTGCGTCGCAGTTGTAGATGTGGAATTCGTGGTCGGTGGCGGCGATGAAGTAGCCGGAGTCCTGGTTGAAGGAGAGGTGGAGGAGTGGGAATCGGGGGTTTGGGTGGCAGTGGCAGTGGCGGTGGCGGTGGGAGGAGCTACCTCGTTGGAATCTAGGGTTTGTAGCGGTGTAGGAGTGGAGGAGGGTTTGGGGATTTGAAGAGAGGGGGAGGGGGTTGCTGATGAGTGAAAGGGCAGCGTGTAATATTTTTGGAATTAAAGGGAGAAGTTTAATTTTTTTAATTAATATTTCCCGCGAGCACGAAAGGGTGGGTATAATATTAAGCAACGTTTTTTATTGTGTTGCATGATATAAAATAAGCAATAATTTATAAATTGTTGCCTAATATCAATTTTAATAACGGTTTTTAAACTGTTAGGTAGAAAAGTGGCCACGATTAGAAATTTGTTGCTTGTTTCATATTTCAAGAACAGTTTTGTTAATATTGAAAAGAGAATAGTGCACGCTTTGATCAAGTGTTGCCTATATGTGCTTTTGGGAACGGTTTTATAATTGTTGTCAAATAAAGTGCCAACAGTTTACAAAGTTGTTGCCTATTCCATATTTCGAGAACACTTTTTTAGGCGTTGCCTAAAAACTCGTTGCCTAATATAAAAAATGTTGTAGTGCGCTTGCTTTTCTCACCTTACATTTTGTGGCTTGTTTTAGGTGAAGATGAACTTGATGTGGGTGGCACTCAAGGTGCCGAGAATTGAAGTATAGGTTGCTCTCATAGTGTGACACCGGGACAATGGGCTTAGAATAGGAGTGTACAATCATTTTTTTTACCTTGTTTAAATTACAATTTGCAAACCTTTTATTTTATATTTGGTTTTTAATTTTATTGGTTCTTAGAAATGTTTTGTATGTGAACCTATTTTACTCAAGATAAATGGTTTTCTTCCTTATTTTAACTGTGTTATATGTTGGGGTACAACGAGTCTCACGTTATCTATTACTAGGAAAAAGATGTACTTCGTGTCTCTAAATATTTTTACAAGTAATATATATATATATATATATATATATAT